GGAGCTGCTCTGAGGCAGGAAAAGGGAGCCTGCTGCCAGCACAGTGTGGGGACAGAGGTCACAGTGCAGGGCCAGCCTGGGAAAGGTGGTGGCAGCTGCCATGCCCATGCTCCACGGGCATGTGGCAACCAGGTGAAAAAAGGAAGCAGAACACACAAACCCTTTCTTATCACGGCAGCTTCAGTGATGTGCTGCTCTGTTAGTCCCTGCAGGTCACAGCTGGCCCCCCATAGCTCTTGGGAAGCAGAATTTGGGGAAAGCAGCTTTCTCCATTGGGGATTTGTAGGTTTGAGCCCAGGCTGAGTCCAGATGCTGTGCTGCTCAGGATGACTGCCCTGGGAGGGCACCACTGGGCTCTGTGCCTCAGAGTTTCCACTTGTGCTCTACAGCTTCACCTCTTGATCTTTGTTTCTCTTTCAGCTTGAACGGGATTCAGTCCACATGTCCTAGAGCCATGCTGCAAAGGAACTCTCTGGTTCCAAATCTGTACAGTTCATCCTGGTAAGTCCCTAAACTCTCTCTATACAAGATTTTATGGTTGCTTTTTTTTTTCCTTCCTCTCTTGCCAGCAGGCCTCAGCAGCAAAGCTGTCTCAGTTGCTGGAGGAGACCACTTCTGTCTGGAGCTTTTCTCCATGGATTTGCTGCCCTTCATATGCCTTGCAAATTAGAGGTCATATTCTCCTTTGGTTTTGGGCTGAATAAATCTAGTCTCCAGACTAAGTTGAATAGCTTTCTTTATGGGCAGTGCTTTCCTTTTTACTTGTGTCAGTCAGATGAGAAAGCTCTGATGCATCTGGCTACAAAGTCATCAGGATGAGAAAACTCAGGCTGGTGATGTTTTGGTGAGGATCTTTGAGGGTTTTTACTCTCTGACCCTATGATGTTGGCAAGTGCTGGTGCTGTTACAAAAGCTGTGATATTACTCTTCTTTTGGCCAAAATAATTCTTAGAGGGAGACCAAATGGGTCCCTAGTGGGATACAACGTGTGGTGTGCTTCTTTCAGAGGAAAAACACCAGGTTTAGGTACCCTGAGTATTCCAGGGAAACACAGCATGATCCTGGGAGCCTTGCACCATGCTCCCTGAGACTGCCAGGAGAATTGCCTGCTGTCCTGTCCAGAAGGCAGAAAAGATCTGCACCACTCTTACCTAACACGGTAACTGAGGTGAACACAAATTTTTTTTCTGACATTACCATCAGGTCTGTAGGTATCTCACCATCCTCTCTCAAGACAGCCTTTCTTTTTAAACTGCCTGGGTACCTTGCAGTGTGTATGCTTGGGTACTACTGCTTCAGGAGAGGTCACCTCTGGTGGATCAAGGGAGGATAAAGCCATATGATTTCTGTTTTTTCTAATATTTTAATTTTGCAAGAATTTGGTGATGGATTATTAGTTTGAAAGATTAATTCAATTTCTCCTTCTATGCCATTATTTGTGTTTTGTGGAACCAGTATGTTGAAGCAGTGGCCAACACTGTCAGCATCCAGCACAGTTGCTGTGTGAGGGAGAAGCTCCACCAGCACTTCTCAGAGGACAAGTCCAGGGTGTCACATTGTGTTCCAGCCAACTCATGGCCTTAATTCCCCTGTGATGGTATTAGGGTTTGCCATAATTTAGCTTCAGATCCCTCTGCACTGATTTGGATATGAACCCCATTTTCAGGTTTCGAGTATGTGCTGCAGGACATGGAATCCCAGAGGCATCGTCTGGCTTGCCTCAGGTTGCAGCCCTGAATTTCTCCAGGTGTTGGATGTCCTGGGGGAGCGAGGAGGGAGGTGGACAGCAAGGAGCAAAGGTGGAATGCCAGCAGCTCACCCTTGTTGGCACCTCACAAATGGCAAGATGTCAAGGAAGAAGCAGCTGTGCTGTGCATGTCGGTAGTCAGCAAAGACTGAGGCAAGAACTGGGAACCTCAAATGTTTCTTTAAGCTGTCAGAACAATCTGCAGGCCAAGGATTCTCCTTTAGAGGATGGCAGGAATGTTTCTGGAAAACAAACAAATGTGAGACTGTCACAATCTGTTCACACCAAGACAAAAACAAAACAAAAAAGCGTGAAATAAACTTTCTCATACCCATGAGGCTTGAAAGAGGCTGGAGGCAGAAATGCCAAATAAGGGCTAATATGCTGATGAAAACAAGAGCTTAATTTTGATGTGCCTTGCACAAAAGTCTATCTCTGGAATCCAAAAGCTGCTTATGAAGAGGTAGATGAAGGACATCAAGGAGAGAGGAATAAAAGTGCTCCTTCCTTGCTTTTCCAAACAGTTCCTAGCAAGGTTTGGTGAAGCAAAGCAGCAGTGCCATGACCAGGTGGGAGGCTGTGTCACTTGCAAGGACAATGTCAGGATGGCTCTGTTTAAAATATGTTTTGATGTTACTCCTGGTGATAGGATGGGCTTATTCTCAAGGAGAGTTTCACTGCTGGCTGCTGAGTGGCCAAACTTTTGTAGAGATTCGGAATTCAAAGTGCTGCCATATTCTGTTCTTCATTCCAATGAAAAACAAAGTCCAAAATTTCTTGGGAAATCATTCTTAAAAATCGCGTCAGACCAAATGCAGAGAACTATTGCAATAACACTTGAAATCTTTTTTACTTTGCAATGTTAAACCTGGATAATGCAGAGATGAGCCTGAAGTGATAGGGTTTTCATAAGTAAAAGTTGCAACTATTGCAAAATCAGAATGGAGCCCAATGGCATTATTGAAATGTTTGTGTCTTTCTTGTGGTGAAAATTCATTGTTAGTGTCTTTCATGTTTGACAGAATTGCATTTTTCTGAAGGAAAAATAGTCCACTGGGAAATTCTAGTGTTAATATGGGTGTCAGTAGCAGACTGCCTATTTTTTTATTTTTATTTTTATTCTCAAAGAATTCCCACTGTGGTTCTGAAGTCAGTGGATATTTCTTATGAAAATAGGGCTCTGGAGAGAGATATTTTTCAAACCAAATCTCCCCTCCCCCAAGTGGCAGTAGGATCTAACTCTGTGGATTCATTATGTACTGTTAAGCAGCTGCCACATTTCACTCCGGCAACACTTGTACTTCATTTATGAGCAAAATGATTCATGTGTGAATGTGGCAAAAGTGCTGCAGCTCATGGTGAATTTGCACTGAGGAGCAGCTCGTGGGTGAGGACTGGGTAAAAACAGATGCTGAAGTAGGACTTTGTTACTTGCCTGATAGTTTTTACAGTCATAAAAGTTTATGTTTTAGAAGGGCAGATTCTGCCAGAAATAGGAGTTGCATAAACACAGAGCAAAGGAGCTTGTTTATGACTAATATTAATCATAGCTCCACTTCATCTTGTGTAAGAGAAGCAAATAAATGGTAACACTTGACCTATATACAAAATTATGAATGAGGAAATGAAATGGATTGATAGTATTCTTACATTAGTCCCATAATGCAAAAACAGTGGGATGCCCAATCACTGCAGCAAATGTGACAATGATTGAAGGATGATTCCTCTTTTACACAAAACCTATTTGTGTTCACTACCCTGGAAAATTTCCCAGCCTGTTTCTTTTACTTACCATGGTGTAAATTAAGAGCCTTTTTGCTAAAAAGAGTGTGATCTTCACAGGGGTAAGAGCAGCAGAAGTAAGAAATTAAGGCATATGTCTGAAATGTTGCAAAAAATAACAGTCTTAATACTTCAGTGCAGAAGCTCTGTGGGTGGAGTGAGGAGAATTCCCTTTCTAAGGCCAAGGCTTCCACTAGCACTTGGGCAAAGTCATGCAGTTCCTCCCCAGACATCCTTGGAAGATGATGCAAAACTCTGCCTCAGACATGCTGCTGGCTACTGTGCTGGTTTAAACTGGCTTAGATTTATTTTTCTTTACAGTGCGGGGCTATAGTTTGGATTTGTGCTGAAACCAGTGCTGATAACAGAGAGATGTTTTTGTTACAGTTTGGCAGTGCCTGCACACATCAAGGCCTTTTCTGCTCCTCACCCCACCCAGCAGCGAGCGGGCTGGGGGTGCACAAGGAGCTGGGAGGGGACAGAGCCAGGACAGCTGATCCCCACTGGCCAAAGGGACATCCCACACCCCAGGGCATCCTGTTCAGCAGATACAGCTGGGGGAGGAAGGAGGAAAGGGGGTGTTTGGAGTTACTGATTTCCCCAGTGACTGCTCTGTGATGGAGCCTCTCTTCCCAGGAGATGGCTGAACACCTGCCTGCCCATGGGAAGCAGGGAATTAATTCCTTGTTTGGCCTTCCTTGGGCACATGGCTTTTGCTCTGCCTTTTGAGGCGTCTTGTCCTCAACCCATGGGTTTTTTCACTTTTACTCTTCCAGTTCTCTTACTGATCTGGTGGTGGAGTGAGCGAGCTGACAGCTGCTGTTAGACCATGACATCCATCCAGAACAACAGTCTACCCTCAGGAAAGCCAGGCAAAGAGGAGATATAAGTGTTTAGTTTAAAATCTTGTTTAAAAGAGCGTCTGTGTTGTGCATATTTTTTTCCGTGTATTTTTATCCCAGGGTAGAGAGGAATAAAGAGTGACTAAATTCCAAAAATCTGTGATGCCAAAAATCTGTGGTGCCAGCTGAGACCTCACATGTGGGCTTCACAGAAAACCTGGGTTCAACAGCACTTGTTGGTATTTGCCCTCTGGTGCCAGTACCCCGTGAAAGAGGAAGCTGTTGGTCCTTTTATTTGGGCTTTACCAGCCCTGAGGCGGTGCCTTACAGAGCAGAAGCAGTTTTGATTTTTCAGTGATCCTTCAGCATCTTTTGTTCACAAGTAGATTAAACTGCACATCTACCCTTAGATGGATTCATGTCCCTGCTGTGCAAAAGCAACCTTTAACTCAGGGGAATTGTTGGCACTTGTCACAATCTCACAGGGTACCACAGGAAGAAAATCCCCCTGCTCTCCCAATGTACAGCCCTGTACACTTTACTCAAATCCTTCATGGTTTTTTTTTTTTTTTTTTTTTTTTTTTTTTTTTTTTTTTTTTTTTTTTTTTTTTTTTTTTTCTCCCTTGCAGGTTTCCACAGATACTTATGGTAGCAAATAATCCCAAGACTCATTACTGCACATAAATCCCTCAGCCTTCTGGGCTTCCTTCTCTGGAGCCACTGCAAAAATGGACACATCAATACAGCCTTCTGCAGAAAAGCTGACAGCCTCAAAATGGGCTCATGCTGCAACAACTGAAATCTCCTGCCAGGTTGGTGATGGGGCTTTCTAATCAACTTTGCAATGAATATTTCTTAAATCATGTTAATCCACCATTTAAGCAGAGATATCAGTTCCAGACAATGAATCCCCACACCTGGAGGGGGATATACCTGCCGCTTCCCCGGAGAAGAGGCGATGAACAGCGTGCCTGCTGTCAGAGGAGCCAGCAGCTATGGCATTTATCACCTCACAGCTCCTTCGCTGCAATGAAGGAAATCTTCGCTCCACGCTTCTGCTGCAATCAGCTTTTATTTATGTAGTGGTTATGGAAAACAGCTCTTAAAGGAAAACTGCACCTGTTTTGCCCTCTGAGACAGATTTTGCTCTAATTTACATGGATGTATTTTCTATTAGAGTTTAAATGCTGGGAGCTCATGAGGAAATGAAAGCTCTTAAATACGAGCAGGCAGAGTGCAGTACCCAGCTTTCAGACCCACAGAGCTATAGTAAACACTGGTGAAGAAGAGGAACTGTCTTTTTCATGAGAACTTTCATGTTTTCAGCTCCCATAGCTCCTAGGAACCAGCTGCTATGTGAACTGTTGACATCCCAGCTTAAAGAGACTGCAGAACAAACAGAAAGTTTTGGGGAAATTCCTGAGCCCAGGTGATTGTAGGATTACTTTGGATAAGTAAAGAGCTATGGATTGATAAGTTTTTCTGTTAATCCCCAAGGTGAACTTCATGAACGTTCACTGCAGAGTAACTTTTCATGAACAAGCTGTGGTAACTTGAAAAAGAGAGGGTAATTTCTTGGGTCCTTGAGTCCCACTCCAGCTCAAAGTAGGTTAACTTCTGAATTAGGTGTTGCTGCTTATGTCCTTGTCCATGTGAATATCTCCAATATCTCTCTGGGCACCTGTTCCTGGGCTTAGCCACTCTGGAGATCTTTTTTATCTCCAGCCACATGTCATTTTCCTTGCTGCTCGGTGTGCCTGTTGTCTCTGCCCATCTGCTGTGCACCTTCAAGAGCAGCCTGATCCACCTGCTCTGGAACTTTTTGGATAGTGGGAGAGTGCAATTAGGTGTCGCTCCTGCCTGAGCATCCACACTCTCTGCTCTCTTCTCTGGAGCACATCATGTGCTCCAGCCCCCTGACCATCCTGGTGTGTTTCTGCTCAGTTTGCTGAACTTTCGATGCCCCTCTTACACTGGGCAGTCCAAAACTGGGTATAGCAATTGCACATATCATCCCAAAAATACTGTGCAAAATGGAAGGGTCTCCTGCCTTCACCCGCTGTGCTGCAACTCATACTGCCCAGGGGGCTCTTGGTTTGCCCAATTGCAAGGTTTCATCGTTGTCTCTTGTTCAGATGGCTGTACACCAGGACTTTTATTCAAATACATGCTTGCAGGCTGTAGGAATACACTTAGGATTGCTGCCAGGGAATGTGTCCCTGAGAATGGTCTGCCCACATTGCCTTGAATTTTGGGCCTCTTTAGGCTGTCTCAGTTTGGTCTCCCAAAAATAAATGTTTCCACATTTTTGCTAGATACTCTTTAATTATTTGGCTTTGGGTTTTCGCATAATGAAGGTCAGTCCCTTCCTAAATAAAAGGATAAGTTCTTCTTCCTCAGGCAGTCCTGGAGGAAATGAGCTGCCCAAGTGAACTGATGTGGAATTTAAGTAAGAGCCCAGCATAAATGCTAACAGGCATTGGCCTAAAAATATCTGCTGATTTTACTGCTGCAGAAAGAATGACACGCACCTCTGATAACTTGTCTTGTGGTGAGTCCTGCCAGGCTGTGCCTGGATCCAGAATGATTACTGCATTTCCTGGTGGTTTGAGAGGAGAAAAACAGGTAAGAGGTGCAAATTAAACTGTTTTTCCTCTGAGAATAACTGCAGCTGAAGCCACAGATGGCCACAGGATGCTCTCCACAAACGTAGGTCGACAGACAATTCATTGTGGATGGCTAACAGAAGTATGTGTGTGCATATCTATATCTATATATATGTGTGTATCTTCATTTCTGTATGAAACTATTACACCCACACCAGATTGGTTGTTGAACTTCAGCTTGGTTGTGTTTGCTCAAGGCGTGGCAAAAGCTTCCCTATAAAGGAGAGATGGAGAGCAGGAATTGGGCCAGCCCATGTCTCTCTGTTGGTGGTGGCTGGAGTTACGCCTGAGGCACTGCAGGTAAAAAACATCCCTTTGCTGTTTTATTTAGCACAAGATGAAGCAGGTGAAATACAAGTAATAGGGCTGGAAAAGCACCACAGACACATTGAGAAGGATTTGCCTTGGAGAGACAGAATAAATTAGAGTCCCTATCCTTAATGTTACCTGGAGGGAAAGAAAAGATGAATTTGCTATCCTAGAAGGAGCCTCCTTTGTAAAACGGTAAGTTGTCAGAAGTAATTGGATCAAGTGGGAGTAGAGATTCTAAGATGAGGAGGATTCTATAGTTACTGTAGGCTGATGTTAAATGAGGTAGAAAAAAGGTATCTGGAACTGTCCTATGCTGTGTATGCAAAACCAGAAGAAAATTGACTTAATAAATAGCCAGAAGGGAGTACTTCACAGGCTGTTTGGAGCAGAAGGTCATGCAAGAAGCCACTGGGAAAGTAATCTCCTGGACGGTTGCCAGAGTGCCTGGCTTTGGTTTTTTATTTTCTGTGGTACTCAAGGCTTTTGTACAAGGTGTGTGTACAAGGAGCTGTTGTCCATCTGGGGTTTGAGACACCCACATTCTGGTCCCTGCACTGCATCCTCAGCTCGCTGTCTCTGCAGGAGATTGTTGGCTCCCTTTTTTTTCGTCTTCTGAATGCTAGGAGGGATAATAAACTCACCCTTTCCTTCATTATGAGATAATTCTGGAACTGAGTCCCTGAAGTTTCTACAATGCTTCAAGTATGTGAATGACAGGATCTTAGAGGAAAGAGTGCTGGTGTTACTGTAGCATATATTTAATATTATGGGGAGATGAAATGTAGCTTGATAGTTTGGAGTGTTTGAGAGGAAACAGGGGAAGAAGGGCTGCTGGCTTTTCAGCTCTTCTGGTACTCTTAGTTGTGTTTGAGAAAATTAGCTGCTCTTTCTAAAGTACAGAAATTCAGCTAAGCCAACATATAATGGAAAAAGTTTTGAGAAAATCAGTGGAGAGGAGAAGGTTCAGCTATGAAGTACACGTGGTTTCTAATTGCCTATTTCTACTTTCTACTCTGTGAAAAATACCAAAGCCATTGAAGGAAATGATGTCTGTACTGTGACATAAATCTTTATGTAAAGTGTGATTAGCTGTCAGTAGCATTTGCCGCTGATTATAGTTGTGGCTTGACATCTTTCCTGAATGAGAGCAGGAGGGAGACAGGACACACCTTCCCTGCTGCTTTTGAAGCTGTTCAATGCAGAGAATCGTGGCTGCTTGGGGTTCCCCCATGGATTTCTGCAGGAGTCACCACTTTTTTGCCCTGCTATGCTTGGAGACTCCTCTTTCCTTCACATCCCTTCCAGCTGCAATACTTGACTTCTTTTTATCCTTCTCTCTGTAGGTTTTCCTCTATTTACCTTCTCTCCCTCCTTCTTTTCTGTTTGTCCCTTTCTCAGAGACAGACAACACGGATGTCCCTCTGCTGAGAAGGAAGAGGAACCAAAAAAGAGCAGCAAAGTTGGGTGTGAGTCCCTTCCCCATTTCAGATAAGTACGTGTGTTGAAGGAGATCCCAGGACTAAACAAATGTTTGTTTAGCCCCTCCTGAATGTTTACCCCTTTCTGAATAATAATTTCTTTCCTTAGTAAGAAGTCTCTTTGTTTTCTTTAGAGTTTGACAATCAAGCAGATTTTGTGGATGTTTTAAATCCCTCCCTCTCTCCTTGCATCTTGTGGCAGGCAGCAGTCCAAGGGCAACATCTCCAATATCCATTCCATTATAACTCTGTCCCTTGAAAGCCTTTCTGGCTCTCGAGGTCAGAAAGAGTAAGAAGCTCCCCAACCAAGCAGTCAATAATAAGAACTTTGTGACCTTTGCTGTTGCTGACAGACCCGTGAGAGCCACATGGGAGAGCTGTGGCCAGGATTCAGGATACTGCTCCGAAAGAGGTGGCCATCAGAGTGTGCTGGAGCAGCCAGGGCACTGCTAGCCAGGTCCTGTCCCCATGGACAGCCTGCAGAGGGGCATGGGTGGGTGTAGAACTCCTGTGTCTGTGCTGATGAAGATATTCCTGCAAGGGAATAGTAGTTAAGTGTGTTATTTTCCTCAGTCTGGTTGCTAATTTAATCCCAATATGTTAAACAACGTAATTAAACGTGCACACACACATGCTAAAAACTCTTGTTCTCTGTCAGAAGAGAGGGAACGCGTGTCAGACCCAGCCTTCAAGCTCTGTTAATTTTAATTTGAGCTTTGGAATTAGTAATCAGTTTTGCTGGAACACTGTTTCAAGAAATAGATCTTAGCATGCACGGAGCCTGGGCACAGCTTCAAATGAGTATTTGTTAAGAAGCCATTCCCTTGTCGTGTTATGGTACATTACATAAGATTTATTTCCATTGTATTAAAAAATGCAAACCCCAGGGGAATGCTCTCTCTTCTTGTTGGCCGAGGGTGGTTTTGGATTTTTTTTGTGGGGCTTTTAATTAAAACAATGAGATGCAAAACCACTTATTTGTTTAGGTTGTTGTTACCATGCCAGGAGGCTAAGTGACTTGAAGCACTGAGAAAGGTGATGAGACTAAGTAAAAAGGGTGTAGGGAGGGGGGTGGGGGGCTGTATCACACCTTCATTGCAGCTGAGCTGTATTTTTGACATGTGGGAAGAATTAACAATACAAACCTGAGGCATTGCTCTTACTGGAGCCGTCTGCTCTATTCGTGCAGCACCAGGGACATCTCAGATTGACAGATAAATTTGTTTGGTAAAAAAGAGCCCTTTCATCTAAAAAAACCCAAAAAAAAACCAAAACAAAAAAAACAACGACAAAAAAATCAAACAAGCAAACAAAACCAATCAACCAAAAGAGCTATGGCATCCAGTTGCTGGAAAGTGAAACTAGATGACTTCAAGCTAGAAATTAGCTCAGCAAAGTTAATTAATTGGAGGTGAGGCTTGCCAAGGGTATGTGGTGGATTTTCCAGTGCTAATTTATGGAAGCCAGGGGCTGGGGGCAGGAATCCCTGGATCAAGTGTGGTGTCATCCATAAAGCAAGATGGCAGAGGACGATCACAGGGATTCTGCCTTTAAAAGTCTGCTGATAAGGGGATTCTCTTTTCATATAGAAAGAGGCAAAAGGGGAAATATAGCTCAGGATAGTTAGTATTTTGATTTTGTGAGGGCAATTGGGAATGAAGGATGAAAACTGGTGTGGACCCTGAGTCATGTGTTTATCCAGCAACATGTAATTCTGTGTTACAATAGAAGCTGAAGGAACCAGGAGGCAAGGCAGGCTGCACAACCTTCCTGCTACTTCTCTGAGCCCTGAAACCACAGCAGAGCCTTTCAGCTGAAGGGACATCACCAGGAGTTGGTGCCCAGGTGTGTGTCTCTGTACATCCATGTGGCTCTGGGGAGCACACCTCAAAACTCATGCTCTGGTTGGACAGAACAAATTGCTTTCTTTAAGCTCCAGTGCCACTGGTCCCTCCAAATGTGCAGGTTTTTTTCTTTCTTCTGTCCTTCTACCACTCCTGTACTACAATCTCTCCCATCCCACAGTCCAGTGTCTCCTTGGAAGTTGAACTGCCTCCCTTTGGAACAAAAGTAGATCTTTGATGGCAGGAATCCTGCTGCGCTTTTTGATGCCTGTAAAGGGAAAAAAACCCCAACAGGAGATTTTGGCTCCTGCATCCATCCCTATCTGTGCCATCAGGTGTATTAGCAGGTCTGTTCAGTCCAGGGTTTCACTGCATGTATGAAACGTTCTTTTTCCTACTTAAAGCTCCTCTTTCTGTTAGACATATTAACAGAGAGGGCTTCACCCATGCTTCAGACTGGAATACCTGGAGATGCCATGCAGTGCCTGCCCAGTTTAAACAGCAGCTTGAAATCCTGTGCACAGCTGTGATACCTGGCCCGGAGAGTCCTGGCTACCTGGGGGCATCATCCCTGCTCCCACTCCCACTCCCCTGCACGTGCAGCTCCTGTTCCATCCCCTGTGCTCGCTTATATTGCAGCTGTACCTCAGTGCTCACACAGCAGCTCACTAACAGCTTTGCTCTCTGTCCTCAGGGAAGACTCCAAATTGAATTTGTAGCACTGACAGAACTGGTTTAAGATAAACCAGTCGGGATTTGACGACTGCTCTTTCCCCATGCATTTCCAGCTAATAAGGATTTTGTCACTGTGGCTGCCCTCAGTTTTGCAAGCTGCTGCTCCAGAGTCCTCCTGGTGGGAGGAGGGGTTGGTGTTATCCCACACACTCTCGATGCCCACTTTGCATGGGGAGACTAATGGCAGTCCCTGTCTGCCCCTCACAGGAAAAGGGCACGATGCTCACCCCCAGCTCCTCTCTGATGCCAGAGCAAACCACGGGAGCAGCAGGAAGCCTCCAGAACCTGAAGAAATTTAACAGCCAGGACTTCAGAGACCTGAGAGCCTTGTGCCTGAGTCAAGGGCTGCTCTTTGAGGATGCCACCTTCCCTGCTCACATCAGCTCCATTGGTCCCACCCTGCTCCCAGAGGAAAAGCTCTGGCAGATCCAATGGAAGAGGCCAACGGTGAGTTCCTCCAGCTGGGGAGCTTTGTAGCACTGCTGCTGAATGGGACCAGTGATGGCCAGTGGCTAAAGGCCTGCACTCTAGGGTGGGAGGTCTGTCTTGAGCAGGAAAGCAGATCTCAAGGGGAACACTGGAAGCACAGTTGTAAGGAGGGATCCTTGCTGTGGGATGTGTGGAGGGAAGAAAACCTGTAAGAAATGATTGCTCACTTTTAAAAATTTTAAAGGTTTATTAAACATTAACAAAAATTACAACAAAAGGACTAAATGACTATCAGCCCCCATGACTATTAGCCACATGCTCATCTACAAAATTGATGTTTTGCCTTTTATACCTTTAGCCCCTCCCAAAGTTTTGTCAGTAAACTCTTTCTCTGCTGTCCATTTGTGGAGATTACTTTCTTATATCTTGGTTGGAAGTCAGGTGTTGTTTCACCGAGCTTACTCTTGGTAATTAGCTGGCCCTCTCTAAATGCCCTGACTACTGATGCTATTACAAGGGGGAGGGGAAAGAGGACTATGGGGAGCACATATTACAATAACATTGCTATGCATTTTAACATCTACATAATATCTATCTCTCAGTTGTGAGAGCCAAGTATTATATTACTCATCTATAACGTAACCTCTGCAACATTAATGATTTCATTAGGTACATTTTTGCAGGAAGTTTGCTTCCACCTGTGAACCTGACTAGAGCTACTCTTCCCCCTTTGATCTGTTTCTAGAGGATTTTGTGCAAACCTGAAAAGTTAAGTTCTATTGAAGATCTCCGATTTCTCTAATCCAGGAGACTGAGTCAGCAATACCTATTTTAAAGTAACTGGGACAAGGCAGGAGATGCAGCACGTTTGTGTGCTTATTCCCAGTTGCAATTTAATAGGCAGTTATCATCTGGCATATGGAAGTTTAGAATGGGAGGTGGAATCACATGCTCAGCTCTTTTATCCTAGGACCTAATTTAGGAAATCTTCCCGTGGTCCAACTGCTTAGTTGAACACTGCTGTGTGCCATTTGCTGCTGGTGCAGCTCCTGGATGAGCCACGTGCTGCCCTTTTTCTGGATTTTGCTGAGCACACTGCTAGTGCCTGGGGCCTTTGGCTTTCCTGGGCTGGGACAAAGCTTCAGGGTGTAGAGATAGTGACTGTGAGACTGTAAAGAGACAGCATGAAACAACAGGAAAATATTTATTGGGATGGCAGATGTGTTAGGGCAGTGAGGGTGTGCTAGAGCTTGGCAGCATGGTGGCCTTGGCACAGCAGCAGCAGAGGCTGCAGCCAGCATGGATGTTGAAACTCATGGATCCCAGAAGGGAAGCAGAGTAGCCAGAACAGCCTGCAGAGCTGCTAAATGTGGATGCCCACATGGATAGGCAGGAAACAAAGCACATGGATTGGAAGGTGTAGAGGTGCTGTATTCTGTGGAGGTGCCACAAAGAGATCATTCTCTTCTGCAGAAGCTGCTTCTGCCACAGGCTGAATGTCCTTAGGTAGTTTTCCTTCAAAGTCTGTGTCTGGTGAGAGTGCAGCCGATGCTGAGTTTTTTACACCAGCACTCTGCTTATGGGTTCACAGCAGATGGGAATAATCTCTCTTGAAAGTCGGTTGTATTAGGAAAGTAACTAAAAATGCAAAGGAGAAGAGTTAGTTGCCTCTGTTTCCTGTCTGGGAGAGAAAAAATAAGATAACTAAGTATTAGACTCACAAAAGACAAACACAGATATTAGAAAGGACTCTCCAGGGGCATTTAAAAGATGAATAAACTGGAATGAAATGTTATGATACAATTCTCTTAAGTACTAACACCACGGTGCTTTTGCAGCAGAGAAGTGTAGGACTACAAAAGCATACAAAGTGACTTAGAAACACAAATACCACTGATTTTGAGGCACTGCGCTGTGGGATGAACATCTATCCTATTCTAATATCCTGAGAGTTATTTCATGTGCAAAGGGACTGACATACCTTGCCAAAAGCAGAATCTGCTGTTGGTAGTGCTTGAAGTTTGTCAGGTGAGGCAGGTATTGGAGAATTCCTTTCTATTTTGCTGAATCCATGAATACTAAGGTTGTGAATAAAAGTTTTTGTACAATTGATTTCAAAAATTTACATATGTCCTCTCCATCCTCCACTTCCCTTCTAAAGAATTTTTTTACAGCAGCCAAAAATTTTCCAGAGTGTTTTTTCAGAAAGGAGCAGGATCAAAATCCTTGGCTTTGCTAGAACTCTCCTCCAAAAAATTAAACTATGTGCTCGTGGCCCAGGGCACGTGATGTGAACATTGAAAAGCCTTTCGTTCTTTTATAGAGGCTAAAGCAGCATCATCAGCTGCCCTTCTATGGCAAAGGGCAAAGTTGAGACTGCCAACTCAACTGGGTCATCTGGATCAGAAACTCAGGATTCCAGTGCTGAAGAAAACCCCATTTTTTTTCCTCAGTTTGACCAAAGGCTTCACCTGTAGATGTCTCCCAACCATGCAGGCTTCACCTTGCCAGAAAAGATGCAAGATAAAGGGCTGAGGAGAGCAACCAGAAATTCCCAAACATCTCCACAACAGCCATGCTGTGTCATGGTGACATCGAAGTGAGGCCTCACTTTCCTGACAGAATTAAGCAGGGGTAGAAGGTGTTGCTGAATTGCAGTGTTTCCTTGTCATTTATAGAGCTGCAGATGTTTTGAGTGAGGGGTCAGGAAGCAAATAAAACTGTGTTTGCATTTCATAAGTCCTGAAAAGCCAACACTGTGTCCATCTGCCTCTGGGAGCTGGTCCCCCAGGAAGAAGAGGGAGGTATCAGGAGATATCACATTGGGCACCTTTCAGCCATGCAGAAATGTTTGTACAATCTTTGTTCCTAGGCCATTGCACTGCTAACTCTAAGGATGTGTGATGCCAGGTGTTCAAGCTACCTAAACAACTCAGCCAAGAGATATCTATAATTTCCCTGAGACTGTTTCCAACCTGAATCTTCCAGAGACTCAATGCAGTTGTATCCTGCTGACAAATCGTGGCCAATTTAACCTATATCTGTATTTTTCCCAGCCTCCACCATTAGCTCACTCTGACATTAAAATAAATTTGTCTGGAACTGTACCTGTGACTGGCATCTCCGTCCTAATAATCTCTTAGCCTGCATTTACTGTTGTGCAGTATCTGGTTATTTAAGTGGTAGATAGCAATTATAGCTGCTGTCTTTGTTCCAGATCCAACTGAGCAGTTGAGCAACATGCTGCTTCTATTTTACCTTGTACATTGTCAAGAGAATTGCCAATTATGCTCAGAGTTTGGAGTCTTCATATCTGGGGGTAATGTATAAAGTGGAGAGAAAACAGCTTGATTTCAGAGAGAAACAGTCAGCAGTGACAGTCAGAAACAACTTTTTGACTTGTAAACTCATCCTGTTTAATAGACATGTGCCTGAAAAGGGAGGGAAGGTGCATCAGGAGCACCAAGACAACATTTGAAATGTCACTTTTCACAGCTCTGCAATAGTTACAGTTTCTCATCAGATGGGGACTGCTTCAGGCTGTGTTTGCATCCCCAGGCCCTCAATCTATGCCCATTGAAATGTGTAATCAGTAACAGAGGTTTTGCATGTGGTATTTCAAGCATTACTAGAGGTCAGGCTGAAGGTACCAAATACAGCAGGACCTCACAATTAACTATTCCTTTGGCTCACCAACAGTTTTGAGAAATGGAAAAGAAGTTCTGTTTTAGACTGAATAAAGCATTTCCTATAGCGAGGCTTTTCTAAAGATCAATCAAAGTGAAAATCTCTGTGAAGAATTATGTCAGATTTTAAAAATTGAGATGCTCCTTTTAAAATGTTCAGAACAATTCTTTTTCCTTGTTTGTAGCTTTTCCTTCACACAAGCTATTGATTGGAACCGAGAAAGCCATGAAATGATTAACTGTTGCAGAATATGCATTTTTATTCAATTAATGTTCAGGCTAAAGATTTCTCTCTGTTCTGATCATAGTGCATAATACTGTGCAGATGCAAAAAGAAATTGAAGGAGAATGGTCCAGATTATGTGAATTGTCATGATGCTAAATGTGAATTGCTTCTGCTAACATTGGTTATATTTTCAGATATGTGTGTGTAAGGGCAGAGAGATTACCACCTGTGCAGCAGTGCCTTAACCCTGCACCAGGGCTCAGTATGGTGCCCACTGTAAATGTGAAGGATAGTCCATGATCTTCAGTGCTTATGCTTTAAAAGAAGGCTAAAATAGGCACAGAGTGAAGTTGCTGAAGGCTTTTCTGAAGGGTCTTCAAGGTTGCAGATTACTGCTCCTGCCCTGCTCACTCTTGGTCTATTGGGGACCCTGTAGCTCCTTTATGGAATGAGGGGATGCTGAGCAGGAGCTGGCATAAGAAGATCTGTCCTCTGGTTAGAATAGACACCTGTGTGTGGGGGCAGCTGGAAGAAAAGCTGCAAGGTGGCCAGTGGAAGTTTGAGGATCAGCATGGGAGGAATCTCTGAGGGCCTCTGATATGACTTATAGGGATGTGGCTGGTGAAAGGACTGTCTGAAAGAGCTGACAGGGGCTTTGTCTGCATCATCAGTCTGCTCAGAGCATCAGGGAACAGATTCCTTGAATGCTTGTCTGAGGTGTCTGGGGTCAGGTTGATGCCTCAGGTTCTAGCTTTTGTATTTTTCAGATTCTGTACTGTTTTAGTGTGTAGCTCTGAATTTCATATTAGGGGATAGTAAACTCCCTTCACAGAGTAGGGAGACAAAACAATTCCTTCTCTAGCTGGGGACCAAGGACAAATGATCCAAATTTCAGGCACAAGAGCATAAAGAATGGCAGAATGAAGAGAGAAAAACAAGAAGGATGGGACTTCATATGGTGAAGCTGTAATTGGACAATTAACTCCAATATGCAAATGACCAGAACTTATAAAAGTGAGAGACCTTGTGTCCAGTCATCCATTTTGTGACCATTTTGGGTTCATCTTGGATATAGCCCTGGCTGGGCTCTTGTACTGCTCTTGTAC